GCGGACTTGCATTCTTTGTCCGCGCTGGTGCATTTCATGGTCTTAGAGAAGTTGGACCTCATTTCTGCCGAGGACCTACGCCTAAAAATGCTGAGAGAAGCTTGATGGCTGTTTTTTAGCCATTTGCAGGCTCGTGGTGTTTGAGCCGTTGCAGAGCTCGGTGGGGCGGCAATGGCAGGGGCCACACTTTGCATGTATCAAAGGGTTTGGTTGCAGGAACATCTACCGGAAATGGCCCCAAAACACACTAAACAGGCTGTTTTCCTGCAGAATTTCCTGTAACCCAGCCCGTTGAATGCAGGACGGCGGCGCCACGGTGCTGAGTGACGTGCTGAAAGAGACCCCGGCGATGCTCACAGAGCCGTGCCTCACAGCCCTGGAGCTCATGAAGTTTGGCGCTTACTCTCGCGATTTTCCCCACGAACATTTCTTGTGACCAGTTCTGGGGCCACTATTTCCCCGGTTTCTGGGGGTTATCAAAGTCAGACAATGGGGGTGTTTCCCTTTAACCCACCACTTAGGGGGTGACTTTGATCATGGTAAAATAGTGATGCTGTCCAGGGATGGGAGCAGTACGATTTCCCACCTTACCCGAGATTTCTCCTCAAGAGTTGTGCTGCCGGCCTCCTTTTCACTGAATTGAATGCTCTCCATCAAGGATGGGCGCAAAAACTATTTCTGCCGCCAAGGTTTGGACTTTTGAACGGCGATCCGTTTGAGGCTGGTGTCGGGCTCGTCACTAAGACCTCGTCACCAAGACAGAGGGGTGGATCAATAATCCTGGCTCCCAAATGACCAGGGCTAACTTGTCCCATGTGGTCAAAGTATGTTTTGTGGTTTTCCCCAATGATCACCTCATGCATCACGGGCCTTGTGAACCCCAATTGCATATAGTTGACTCAGAGGCACCGCATAGCCGGGACGAGCGAGCCGTGCCGAGCGAGCGCCTGCCAGGCGGCACAGCCAGACAAGCAGTTCCCAGAGGAGGTCAAGTGCCCCAGAGGATGTTTCGTGCGAGGAGAAGGATGGAGAAGGATACCCTTTGGGGGCATACCCAAACTTTTTGTCGCCCAGCCAGTCGCCAAGTCGCCCAGCGATTTTTGTTTGTTTGTTTTTCTCTCGCTCTCCAGGTATCCAATTGGTGCCAAGCTGGGGCCAAGTGACAGGACCAGAGTCTGCGGCAAGCTCATTCTTTGCCGCGTCATGTCGCTGGTTCCGATGCGGCTGCGGCACCTTGGCGGATTCGGAGAAGCGAAAGCTCGTAAGGGTGAACCGGCATGTTACCAGGAAGGCTAAAGGGAAAGGGGATGAGAGGAAAAGCCAATTCAGCATTTTGTTGGTTAGCATTACTTTGGTTTCCGAAACTCTCCACCCATCACCAGCTGTTAACCTCACTTACAAGCTGGTGAAGTGCATCTTCAATTCCTCTTCATAGCATCCCTATCGCCTATCGCTCGGCAATGACGTCAGACTCCTACAAAGCAAACATATACTACGACTTTTCTATGCGTCTAGGTTTATTTCCAGGCACCATCGAAGAGATCCTTTTGGAATGGGACCACGCCCACTTCATGTTTGACAAAAATCTGCAAAGATAAGTGTAGATATCATATTTACATTTTTTTTTCGGTGCAGAACTCCAAAAAGACACGGCCACTGGGAGAGAAAGGACCGTGATGTGGGACTCCGACGTGGACTTCGACCTCGCGGCCTTCCACGCCTTGGTGCGGGCGCTGAAGCGCAGCTTGCGGCAGCTGGTGGAGGGCGCGCTGGCGCATGTGCTGCTGAGGGACCTGTCGAAGGCCACAGGGGCCCAAAGTTGTGGGGGGCGCAGATCCTATGGCAACTGACAGGGGGTCCCTTCAAAAGGAATTTAATCTTCCAGGTACCTCCCCACAGGTGCCATGTTGGTTGGAGATATTCTATCAACATGTGTTTGATGGACATCCAGAAGTTTACATCTTAATGATTCCTGCATCTGGGATCATGTCCACAATAATTTCAGGGAGCTTACAGTTCGTAATATTTTTTTTGGCTTGCATGAATTTCAATGCTCGCAGTAGCATCAAGCTTGCTAGATTGCTGTGGATCAGGGGGCGTAGTGTTTGGTCTGCTAATCTCAATGCCACGATTCTTGGCAGGTGAGGATTTTGCCCCGGGGCTTCATGTGCACCTCGCCTCTGAAGGACTGGCAAGGTATTCCAGCGCAAGTCGCGAGCGTTGAGTCATGCCCTTTCAAGGCACTGTGCGAAGGGAATGACTCGCTGGTGCAGTAGGGACTGAGAAATGGAATGACCCCGATGAAAACAATCCAACCGGTGGTTTCCATATTCGGGGAATCCCTGGCTTCATTCAATCACATTCCCTACCGATTTCGCACCAAGATGAGACGTGACGAGAATCGCGGCATTTGCCGTGTTCCTTTGTAGGATGCGTGGCCTGCTATTCCGGCGGAGTTGCCGGCCTTCATGTTGCCACGGGCATGCATGGGCATTGTGGTGAAGTACTTCCTGGAGTACAAGGCGTGGTTTGCAAACAAGGCATGGCCGGCTAAGGTAGGGGCCAGCGAGCGGTTCTCGGGACTGCATTTGGCTCAGGGCAGCGATGGTGAAGCCTTCAAGATGGATCTGGGGAAGCGCTTCCCCTGCTGTGTTCAGCCCATTGACGAATCTTGGCAAGCGCTTAACCCTCTCAGCCGCCGTGTGCGAACGCATTGACGCGATAGCCAGCCAATGCGCGGGGGTTTGACGGCGCGATGCGAACGCAAGTCCTTCATCTTCGCGTTTCCCCCCAACAAATAAGTGAATTAAACAAATAAAACAGTTCTAATTATATATGGGGATTGGGATGTTCACTGGGGGTACGAGGTTTTGACCCATAGCCACGTTGCTTTTACCACCAATGCTTGAAGTCTGCGCTGCTCCGCATGGCGCTTTCGAACGTGGCAAGACTTCGGGGCCTGCTTAGCTGCTTGTGCTGGTTGAAGAGCCTGCAAGCATACCTTATGGAACGCAAATGGGACGCAGCTTCGACCAAACCAGCGTGCATACTAAACATGCCCAACAGTTATGGAATAGCTGAATGGAGCACCAAATCGGAACAGTTTGTTCGTAACCCTCGTCCCCACCTAGCCAATTGTCAACTACTTGCCGACAATTGTAACCGGTTTAGCAACTGGTGTCAGAAGTGGAATCTTTGGCAAGCGTCCGGCCGCCTACGAGCTGCATGCAATCTGTTGGTTTTGGCGTTTTGGGCGGTTGTCTCGTGCACGTTCTTCTTGGCCTGTCTCGAATCAAGGTTCTGCGCCTGTTTTGATCGCAGGGAGCATGGCACATGTGAGCCTATCTGAGCCGGACACATTCTGAACTGTCTGCTTCGGAGCGCTTTCTGGGACCATGACCAAGGCCCATGGGCCCTGAAGACCAAGAAAAGTGATGCACCGGATTCCACGGATGGTATGAGAACTGAGTGAAACATAATCCGTATTGGTATGTGAGGCCATGACGGGTGGTAGGCCTAGACTGAGGCTTTTGCATCCATCGTCAAGCAACACTGGTAGCTTGCCATAGGGGACGTACTGCGGATGGTTGCGAAATCCGAGACAAAACCACGAACTGCATGCATGGTTGAAACCGTTGTTGTCATCTACAAGGGAATCGAATCAGGGTTTCTGAGGTGCAGGATTTGGCAAGCTGAGATCATTGAGACTGCGCGAGCGCTCCCAAGGACATGAAGCTGGCCTTCACTTTTTGGCACGACCTTCGGCGCTGTGTTGACACCATCGCCGAAACACTGGGAGCGGAAGAGCTCAGCGAGGACGCAATTTCCGCATTTCTGCATTTCGCCGGCGAGATGCAAGTGGGATACTGAGCAGTTGGAAGGGTCACCACGCATATGGAGGAAGATAGGGCAAGACATTGTGCTTAGGCAGTGGGGGTGAGGATGTGCAAAGCGCATGGGCATCGATGCTGGCCAGGAAATGAAGAAAGCAAGTGATCTTCTAAATGCTCAGCGTCAGAGATTGGGAATTTGAGCCATGGCGCAATACGTAGATCAACGCTGAAGGTCTGAAGGGTTTGGAGCTTCGTCATTGAGCATTGTATGCCTTTGCAGCTGAGGAGAAGCTGTAGCTGAAGCTGTGGCTTTTTTGGAAAGATGAGCCGTATCTTTGCCTGCCCACCTTGATCATTGTTTGCTTGCGCAGCGGCCTGTAAGCTTCGTTATGATATAGCTGAATGTTCTTGCGCGGGCCGCCATTGTGTGCTGCTGTTAGAAGTCAAGGCGGGCAGCCAGGTCAGAAAAGACCTCGTACACGTACAGCGAGCCCCAGCAGCTCCAATCTTCAAACAATACCATGAGCAGTCCCCACGGTGATGTACTGTGCAAGCTCGAAAGTTGGTTGGGGTGTTCCATGTTGAGTGCCATACAACTCCTTGTGGAAGAAAATGAGTTTGATAGCGATTCCCTCGGCGATTTGCAGTCCATTTGTTTGGGCCCTTCAGCCACTGTTTGCATCTTATGCCGTTTTTGTTTGCAGCTCGGGTTGTTTGAGATGCGCAGAAGAAGGGAAGCTAACGGCTTGGAAGGAAAACAGCTGCGTCCATGGCTTGCTGCAGGAAAGCTACTGAACATAGTGCCAGCTGTTTCTTCCCCCTTCGGAGCACCATGGGCAATTACATAGTTGAGCATTGGCGCTCAACGGTGCTATTTGACACGCCCCCCCGTGCATTGTGCAACTGCGTCCGGCTGAACATTTGACAGAGCTTGTATGGTCCGCAGCACACGGCCATCATGGCCAAAGATATGGCAACCCACGCCAGATTTCAGACATTGATACATGGGCACTACGAAGTGGATAGCGAAGTAGTGCTGAACGTGATGACGTCAGAGCTAACGACGCCAGTTGAGCTTGTCTCATTGACGTGGGGGATTCATTTATGGACTCATCGTTGTTCAGATTAGAATATCCGGACTGCTATCTATGCATTTGGTCAACCAAGGCAAAGCAAGGTGGCTGTTGAAGCCAACAAGAAGAAGCAGCAGCCTGGCCTTGTTGGCGCCCACAGTCATGAGAAGCCCTTTCCGCAGGTGCACACAGGGAGAAGGGGGTGGATCAATAATCCGATCGGCCTCAAAATGGCCATGGGTAACTTTTGACCATGTGGTGAGTCATGCAAAGCTCGGAGGGCGTTGATCAATCTTCCTGGCCCCAAAATCATGGGCAACCTTTCCCATTCAGTGGGGAAAGTCATCTTTTTAGTGGTCCCCCCCCAATGTATCACGGACCTTCTGATCAACCCCCATCTGGATGAGAGTTGCCAGCGCACTCTGTTGCTGAGGCCGGCTGCCAAGATTCTTGGCACAGACTGCGAGTGTATTTCATGTGGGCTTGGAGCAAAGGAACAATTGGAGGCAGACGGTGATCGCAAGTGCCAACTTGCCAACTTGCCGCGTTTTGCTTGGGTTTGCCTTTGAAAACATCTGGGCCAGTGCCGGGGTTTTCTGCTTTGACTACGGGTCATTGTGGCGTCCGACATTTGCATACAGCTGGGCTGTGTGCCTTTGTGCTGAGGACGGGATCCAAGAAAGCGGCAGTGGTGGAGGCGCGGAGGGACGACCTTGAGAGACATGGCCACCCTAAAACCCTGCCTTCATCGCCACAGACCGATGAAAGCAGCCTGAGTTCAACTGCCTTGCGGCGTCAGGAAACAAAGAAGACAGGCCCCAAGTTGTCTGAAGAGCAGGCGAAGGCCCGGCTTTCACCCAGCCAGCTGCCGGCATCCGGGGGTCAAACCTGAGCAGCCCCTACCAGCAGAGCGCCCTCGGAGTCTCAGGCGCTCTTCGAGAAAGCGCAGCAGAGGAATAAGCAAGCTGCTGCCCCAGCGCCGCGCCCCGAGAGGTTCGTTTAGGTCCGGGCTGGGTCCGGGCAGCTTACTCTGACGATTCTGGATCTGGATCACCGATGGGCTGGGGTATAAGGAGCTAGAATAAAACGGTCCTTTGTCTGGGGATCCCTGAAAGTTCAGCTTTTGGAGTTGTAGTACAGTTTGCAGGATTCCTTGGAACAGGTTTTGGAGAAACCAGGAGAAATCTGGCATGACCCTTGGAAAGCTGCGCGGCAAAAAGTGTGACCAGTGTTGGTCGGTGAAAGTTGTCACGTTGCCTGATTTCCTCCTAAGATAACCCGCCGGAGATGTGCTAAACCCACAGTTTATCACCCGAATTAATACGCCCAGTTCTCATGGATCTTCCATCTTTGCGCTTGGCTCGGACTTGGCTAGGGTGCAAGCAGCGCGGGGGGGCCGCTTTGCGGCCTTCGATGATGAGAGCGACTGAAAGCTGGCTGGGCCTTGTTCTCTTCGCCTGGTTTGCTTTGACTTGCCGAATGCCGAGCAGCCTAGCGCTAGCAGATGCAAAGTGCAAGCCAGCCTTCAGCGGTGCCAGCGTGGGTGATTGACATAAGTGAAGCAACCAGAATCGGTCAACGAACTTGCACAGACCATGTGTTCTGCTTTTGACATATAGCCAGCATGTCCTCCTCGGTCCCAATTCTATGTTTTGTGTTTCTATGCGCTTGGCATGGGGAATCGGGAAGCTGCGCTGGCGCTGATGGGCCCCAGTTGGCAAGTGACAACTTGGCCGCTGCTTTTCCAGGGGGCGCAGCAGCTGTCAAGGCGATGGCTTCCAGTGACCAGTGAAGGTCTTGCAAGGTGGGAGCATGCGGGCATTGAAGGCGAGAGCTTTTGGGATTCGACGAAATGGGACGCCTCAAAGCCTGCAGGCTCCTGGCCCGGGGGCTGTCTCACCCGTTTCCTCACCAGAGAAGGTGAGGGCACCAAGTATTAAGCCACAAGCGTCGCTCCATTCTGATCGTTTGATCGTTTGATGCCTGGCGCGCAAGGTGATCTGGGAGAGAAGGGGTTTTCATGGTTGTCGGGCATTAGGCCGAACAGTTCGAGGCGCAGCCATCACAACGTCGAGACAATGCGCGAGTCGACACTGTCTTTCTTGCTGTTGACTTCCCGAAGTGGCGGGCAGTGCAACTCGCCCTCGGCCCGTGACATACCTTGCGCTCAGTGCGACAGGAAAATGTCTAGGCTGGAGCGGTCACTGGGGAATGGCCTGCAAAGACCCGCGGCACAGCCCCTGAAGATCTTAGTCGGCCCCTAAGGTCTTAGATATCCGCCGTTTTAGTTCTTGAAGCATGGGATTACGGGATAACGACCATGTTAATCCGGGGGAGCATCGAGGACTGGTCCCCAGATTTCGGTGGATGCCTGGTGGACGCCGCGGGGCCTCGGGCCATCGTGCCGGAGCAGAGCTCTCGGACTCTCTTCCGCTGCCTTTCAACCCGACGCAAAACCGCGCCAGAGGTACAACTCCCTCATCGCCTTTCTGGTGCCGCGGGAGCACTGGGCCTGAGACCCACCTGCATATGGGCAGACCAAAGCTTGACTCAATGGAAACGGCTTGCTCAAAAACGCTTCTTTGGCTGCTTGGTCCGTTGTTTGCTTCCAGCCAGCGGGTTTTTGCAGGTCGTCCTCTCAGAATTGGCCTGAAGTCGCGTCTCTTTGGCCAGGTCTCGGAGATGAAGAGCGGGGCTCCTGCGCGCGCGGAAGCAAAGCCAGATCCGTTGCCCGAGCGTGCTGGAAGATGGCCTTCTGCAGGGCATAAAAGCGTCCTTGTTCTTTTCAGGACTTAAAAAAGGACCAAACAAGACCAACAACTGGAGGTGTGTTTGGTAGGCATGAGCCATGTGTGTCATTGAAGCAGGACGGCAGAAGGTGCAGTGCCCTTTTGGTTCACGATTCATATATGGCTTTATGGCTTTCCACCCGCCCGCGCGCTGTAGGCTACACGCTCTTTGGCTGGCTGCACGATCGGGAGCCGGCGCCCCAGACCCGGCCAAGCAGAAAAAACAAAACGCGAGAAACTGTCGGACTGAAGGAGCCGCAAACATGTGAGCCACGTGCTCAAAACCGATTCGGGTATATAGATGAAGGTTAGGGCCGGTCCCAGCCAGAAATAGTTGCTCATATACGCCTTCTTAATTCTTGAAGCATAGGATTACGGGATTGCGACTATTTTACTACCGGGTTTGATTGTAACTCATGTGGTGGCATCGGGCCTTCCGACTGAGCGCTTTTTCGGCTTTCCGCAGGCCTTACGGGGATGAGCTGCAGCCGCTCGGGTGGCCAGCACACCCAGCAAAGGGTGGAAGAGTCGAGGGAAGCGGGTACTACTTCTGCGTCGCGCCATTTTTGCGCTCAAGGGGCTCATTTGGGGACTTCGCATAGACAGGTTCAGAGATCTCAGTGTTACAAATCCATTCAGCCACCTTCGAGGCTTCGCAGTGCGCCCATGATGCTTAGGGGCTGCAGGTTCGGAGCTGCAAGGTGTGCTTGCTTGCTTTGCTTTGCGGGGAGTTCTCGTAGATTGGATTCCTGCTGGGCGGATTTCTGCACCGAGATCTTTCTTGGTCAGTTCGCTTGTCCTCGGTCCTTCTTAAACCTGGAGACAGCAAGACTACAAGAAGTTGTCATTTGCGACGGCATGCGACGGCGTTGCCTCTGGCAGAGACTGAGGGCCGCACCTCGGTTTTCCCCCTCCACGAATGGCCATTTACATGTTGAGACCAGTGGGTGGGTTGCACTTCCTGCGTTTGGCCGGGAGGGGCTGGGACACAACTGGTTTGCGGCGGCGGCCCGTGCTGAGGGCTTCCAAAGATTTGTTGGAGAGCCAGGCTGGGCGCTGGTCGGCCGGTCTGTTGAATTCAATCCTGAAGGGCATGGGGCTGGCCGACAGGGAGCGACATCAGCAGATGGATGCTCCATACTATATGGGTGTGTCTTTTCATGATGGTAGCCTTTCTGGGGTGGGCTTAAAAGGAAGTAAAAGGAAAACCACCAATTCTCGGGGTCCCGTCTTGTGAGACAACCCCCATATAGCTGCAGCTACACAAGCGCAAGGTTGGCTTGCACATTGAGTAGTCGCAGTATGCCAACCTGAGCTGCAAATGTCCTGCAGGTTGGGGACGCCAAAGTTGCGCGAGTCGACAGCTTAGCCGGCTTCGCCTGAGAGTCGTGCAGAGTCTTGATGGGGAGGCCCTGGCACATGCCCAGGAGCACGTTGAAGCAGCCAAAGAAGCTTGCGAGCACGGCTTCAGGAGCTCTCAATCAGGGATGGTCCTTTGATGGCCCATGCTTTCGCCAGAGGGATGCTTGCCGACCACAGACCAGCCCATGCACTCCGCCGCCGCATGCCTGCGCACATGCTTGCACATGGCAGGCCCACCCAGCCCGCACTCCGTCGCACGCCTGCGATGGCTGCGCATGGAAAGCACACCCACCCACGCACTCCGTCGCACTCCGCCACACGCCTGCGCACATGGTGGGGAGGGGCGCCTTTTGGTTTGCGTTTTGTGGCAACCGCGCAGGACCACTGTAGCTTCCGTATGTCAGGTCAAGCACTAGCACCAGCGGCCAGCCACAATTCCGGCGGCATGTTTTTTTTCTCACAGGGAGGCGCTCACGCTCATAGAGGTGAAGGCGTGGGCCCATCGAGGCAGTATCCAACAACAGTCTGTTGTAACCTTCCTTTGCTGCAATCTCTTCAGAGTTCATTCAGTAAAATATGATAAATTATGCAAAGTTTCTTAGTTTCAGGTTGGACCGATTGTTGGTTGGAGAAGCGGACCAAAACAAAACAAAAAGCCTCGCTTTCAACCACATGCGCCAACGCCAACACTTTGCAGCTTTCTGCGAGGATGCACTTCGGCATTGACAAAGACTCATTGCGCTTGGGTGCGCCGAATTCTCCGGCGAAGCAGCTCCTGCCAGAAGCTCGAGAGACTGTGGTGGCAAGACTTAAATGGAAGCAAAGACCAACACCAGCTTCCCACATCCAGATGGATGCAAATCCAGATGCCTAGGTTATCCGTTTATCTCTTGAATGTTGATCCAGATGCGAAAAAGGGTAGGCCCGGTTGCCTTGATCTTTGCACCAAGGCGCCGCCTTGCCGGCTGATGTGGGACTCTGCCTTAGGCAAGATTGAATTTCAGCTAAGAGATGTCCACAGCTAATCAGCAGTTTTCAGTTGGTTCACACACACCTCGCAAGAACTGCCTCGCCTGATCTTGATAGGGCCCAACTTTTCCTCAAGAGGCAGTTCACATTTTGCAACGAAGATGCGCGATGTGAGTTGTAGAGGTTCGTTATGTTGCCTGAATGCGCCCCGACGGATTGTGTCGGAGAGTTGTCAGGCGTATTGGCATGGGGGCCGGGCTTGGGTTTGCACAGTTTTCAAGCCAGGCTCGAGGTTAAAATTCAGCGTGTCGTATTTGTGCGTTGGATGTTCTGTGCCTGCCGCAGCATGACCTTAGGCCAAACGAAGGAGGGATGGCAGAGACGCCTGCAGAAAACAGAGCCTGTGACATGACAGAGAGAGAAAGAGAGAGAGAGACTTTCAAGTTGCTGGCCTGGCTTGGAATCCATCAGTCAGGGTGTTTTGCTTGTCACCGCAACCGTGTGGCTTACCCATCTCGAGACATGTCTCCATAATCTGTACGGCTTGACGCTTAGCTTGGGCCGTCAGCCAAGAATGCCCCCACCCGAAACCTTTTTCCGCTGAAGCTGAGGCCATCTGACATCGCTGGATCGATGGAGGTGACGGGTCGCGACGTGCGGCTCCTGGCGCAGGAGGTGCCGCAGGCGGGGAGGGAGCCTGGCAGGCTTGCGCCGGCGGGTTACGCCCCGATCGCCGATCGATTTGGGAGGCCTTGCCACAGACCGTGGTCGACCAGGAGGCGAGCACCCATGGTGAAATGAAGCGACGCGTGCTTTTCCTTTCGGCCGGCGTCTTACTCCGTGCCCCATCCATTTCTGTGAGTTGAGTCATGCTGGCTGAGTCTCAGTGTCGGGTTCCGTGTTCCAGATGGGAGAGTGTGCGGTGATTATATTTTTGTCGTTGGGTGCCTTTGGGCCTTTGGGCCTTTGGTTTTCCGTGGGTGCAGTTGGCACGCCCAGGCCATCTTGGCCGTCTATGTGGTGGTCAACGTCTTGGTCCAATATGCTTTCGATGCGGCTGCCCTTGAATCAGCCTTGGAGCAGCCACTGGGCTGCTGAATCGCTCGCCGGAAGAGTTGGATGGTTGAAATATGTCGTACAGGTCAGGGAAGAACAGCTAAGGAAATAAGCAACTTTTGCCAGCGCACGCACCATCTAGCTACCTTTGTTAGAAGGTGTACTGCGCAGGATCCGTGCAGTCACGAACGAGAAGGGCGGCCCCATCCTTGCGAAACTGCTGATGCGCCGGGTGCCCAAGTGAAAGTCTGTGCTCGGAGCCTGGGAAGCGAGCTCTATTTCCCATTGCTCCGTGGCGACTTGCCTTTCTCCTTTGAATGGTTGATGGATGTTGAAGGATAGCCAATGCATGACAATAATTGCGCATCCATTTCCAGTGTAAATGAATCATCATGAATCCTTCTTTGGGCAAAACTCTCAAGACGAGGCATGATTCCCGGGGCGACCTTCTCCATCATGGTGGGCCTGTTGGTGCCGCTGTGCGGCTACCTCGGGGCGAAGCAGAACAGCCAAGGCTCTCGATCAGCTCCGTCCTCACTTGTTTTGCCCAAGCCAACACGTGCAGCATCAGCTCGCGTTCTAGTTTAGGCACACCATCGCAAAAGAATGAATGTCATCAAATAATCATTTGAGCTTTGGAATGCACATCGTCGCAGACGAAATCAAATTGTTTACCGTTTGTTGCCACACAGAGGCAGTCTAACGGTGCCATGCGCATCTCGCTGTGGACGCATGTAGTGTTTGCGGCGTGCTTGTTTCCAGTCGGCAACATGCAGCCAGGCTTGATGGGCTGCTTTTGTGGGTGCAATTTTTTGAATTGCTGCTGCGGGATGTGCAGCTTGGTCGGTACTGTGCCTTGGCGAGCAGCCATGTGCCATATGTGGCTTTCATTGCGGTTGCAGTGGCTGCGTGATCAGTGGCATCATGCGGTTTCGCAATTTTCAGGCGCTTTGGGGGGTGAGTCAGGGTGAGAAAATGGCATTGAGCATGGCTGTTCAGATCATCGTGCTCGGCCTCATCTCAGCTACAACTCCAGGTCTGGAGCTCAAAACGACTGAGTTCACGGACGTGACATAACTTGGTGGCTCCCAGCCATCCCCTTAGCCTTTTAGCTTTTTAGTGTTTAGTGGTAGTTTCCATTTAACCCACTAAAAGTTAAACTTTTAGCAAGGGATCTGAGGGCAGCCCAGATAACTCAGATAACAATTGATCATCACTGACCCCCAAAGTCAAAGAAGGGGATTAGCAGCGGAATCTGGCAGGCATCGAGGAATACCTGCGAGATTGTGACCCAGTGCAGTGCTACAAGTGGACACGCGGCCGCACGATTTGTTCTCTCAGAGTGTGCAATGTGCCCTGCCTGTGCCCTGTGCCCTGCCCTTGCCCTGCCTGTGCCCTGCCTGTGCCCTGCCTGTGCCCTGCCTGTGCCCTGCTTGCGACTGTGGCGTTTGGAGGCTTTGGATTTAGACGTGTCACGCATGCGTCTAAGCATTCTTCCCAGGCCGACGTCCTGGAGTGACGCAGTGAAGCAGCAGCACACGGTTGACTGTCTGGCGGCAGGGATGTGGCCGGAGTACAAGAAGTGCCTTGCCTTGATTCATTCGGCGGACAGGTGGATGGTCGGAGTTGATTTGGTGTTGTGGCAGGGCCTTCAGGTTTTGATCGGGACAATGGCTTGCTTGAGCAATCGTCAAACTGCAGTCATGGGTCGAGCAGAAGCTATTTTGTTGCCCTGAGCTGGCGCTGTTTGGTGCCATGCCAGGCAGTTTGAAGGACCTTCCTATCCGCCTATTTGCCGGGCGCCAATCGGCTCCTGCCGGCTGTGCCGAATGAAGCCAAACACGAGACTCTGATGACCTCATCCGACCTCTGCCAGAGTAAACTGGGTAAGCGCTGTTTGCCCCAGCGCCTCACAACAATTGCGCGGGATTCCGTGTTGTCTTCGGTTTTGCGCTCATTTGGGTGTGGGTCAAAATTTAACCACCAGGGGACCGTAGGTTTTAGTCCTTGGTTCCATTGACCAGGGTTCCATTTTGGGTACCCATGTTTGACCCACAGCCATTGTACTGCACGCGCAAGGGGCCTGGGGGGGAGTTCTGTATCATGGAGCCCTCAGCTCACAAGGCCCGAAGTTCCTCCTCCAGTGCGACGACGATCAGCCGAAGGCTTGGAGCGAGAATTCGTGTCCGCCGCTAGGAGGGTGTGCACGAATTCTGGCATGGCTGTTGCGTTCTGGCAAAAATGCCATGCTCACAGCCACTGGCAGCTTGGGGAGGCTCACTCTGAAGCCAAGCTCTCCTGCACTCTCTTTGTTGCTATCTGAAAGCCGTCGACAGGCACCGCCGGGCTTCAAGCCCTTTCAGCTTCGAGGCATGCCAGGCGTGCTAAGTGAGCCGGACGAAGAAACGAACGCTGGAGAACCGTTGCTTTCGGCCTTTGGGCAATTCTTGGATGCACTCTTTGTTGCCACAGTGAACCCAGAATGGCCCATTCGAGATCTTCAGTAATTCGGTTCGGAACGCCTCCAATTGTTGCGAATGTGCTCGCAGCTGAGTTGAACACCTTAAGCAGACAGACTTCAGCGTTCCCGAGTTGAAGGTCACAGCACGTGCTACGTTGCGCTAGGATCGCTTGTGTGCCCTGAAGGGGGCGCCCACTCAGTTTTACATGTTTTACAAAGCAAGCCAGAAATCTAGCAGGCATGAGTTTGGCGTGCACACAGGCAGGCGTGCAATGCAAGTAGGACTTGCTGCGTGGGCTTTCTATCCATTCATGTTTCTAGCTTGTGCCCAGCAGGCGTGCAAGTTTGGATGGCCAAACTTTGGCCCGACTTTGCGAATGGCCTAGTGTCAGGCATGCCGGACCCAGACATGCCCGTGGACTTTGACCCAGCAGCGACCTCAGAGATTGAAGCTTGGGTGCCTCACCTTGTCCGATAGGGATCCTCTCCTAAAGCGCCTGAAAGGTTCTGCCAATTCCCCCAAAGTCTTACAAGGCTCAAAGGGCCTCTCACTCGCAAAGCGGGCTCTATGGTCAAGAGTCCTGGCATTGTGCTGGAGCAGTTCATGCAAGATGGCTGATTCTCGCACCGAGGCAAGCCACACAACACACACACACACACGTAAGTGTACATATATATATATATATATGTATATGCTCTGCGTGCACGCACACACAGCTGCACCATGGCCCTTTTTCCCTTCGCACGCGGTTACAACATGAGTCACGAGTCTCAGTCGCTGCTCGCAAATCTCAGGACTCCATGGCCGCCATGGGCCTGACTATCGGTGAGCCTGTCCGTTGCTCAGATGACACATGCCCGATGTTCGTCGCGGCAACGTCCAAACCCATGCGAAACCATGATCAGATCTGTACACCAAAATTCACCCATAGTTTCTCACCATAAGATCTTTACACGAAAATACACCCATGGCTTCTCGCGATAAGATATTTATCCCAAAATACGGTAAAATACGCAGCGATGAAGCAAACAACCGCTTGGATTGACACGCTGAGTGCAAAGGGACGGCATGCAGGAGTTGGATCCTATGCCCCGGCGGCTCCAGTGCCTTGAAGGCATGGAAGGAGTTGCGTGCCAGGAGTTGCGTGCCATGCAAATATAGCACTGTGTTTGTTATCTAAATCCTTTTGTTATTTCTATTGTAGACACATAAAGTCCTTAATCCTCATATCTTGGAATTACCGTCATCTTCTTTTCCGCAGCATTGGATGAAGAGAGCTGGCTGGCCTCAAACTCCAAGTCCCGGGATTATAGCTAATCGCCAGTAGATGCCGAGAGTCAGCCTTTAAAGCAGCCAAACAGTAGACGACGCATGTTCTTTTTCGCCTTAGATCTCGTCTGCTGAGTCTCGTTTCTGTCTCTTTGGGCAGCTCCGAGGCTTTCCAGGCCGCGAGAGTGGCCGGAGAAGACTTGGCGGACCTTGCCGAAGTTCGATGGCGCCGATGACGACTTCTTCCAGGCGCCGGTCGATAAGCGTGTGGGCAGGTTCGCCCTTTCAACGAAGATGGGTGAGGGTGAAATTAAGCCAGGAGTTGGACCGGCCAGTTTTAGTCGTGGGTTCCATGTACCAGGGCAAGCTATTTGGGGTACCCATTTTTGACCCACAGCCATATCTAGCCCTTTGACATTCATTCCTGATGGCCCAGATATAGGTACGTGACTCCGTTGGGACGGTTAAGCGATTATAGACGCCTTTGGAAGGCCAATATCTAAAGGGAAGGACATGACATACCAATGTGCGCAGTAGAACGCAGCAAAAGTCTTCAGGAACGATAGGATCCACAAAGAATCCGAAGTCAAGTTTATCAACCTTGGTGTTTCTATCGCGGGTCTTATGCACTCCTAGGCCATACTTGTTAAGAGATGAGGAGTGCCCAGCCATGCTGACATGGGCGCGAATAGGACTTGCTTGAGGGTTACTAAAGTCTTTAAATAACCATTCGGGCCTTTTCAAATGAGGTCTTTTCAGTGAATTGTTTTGATTGTTCAAGGCTGCATAAAGTCCACAAACTGCAGGTTGAGAATATGCCTAGCACTAAGGATTTTTCAGGAGGTGGGTTCATTTTCGGAGCACTGATCCATTGATGTGGGCATGCTGAGGCTTTCTTGTGGGAACAAATTGAGAAAGATGTGAAGAAAGGTTGAGAACAAGTTGGGAACATGTTGGGGCAAAGTTGGGAAGAAGGCTTGGACAAAGGTTGGGACAAAGTTTGGAAAAGGCTTGGAACAAGTTGCGAAAAGGTTGAGAAAAAGCTAGGAAAGGGTGGGAAAGGTTGCGAAAAAAAGGTCTGCAAAGAAGGTCGGCGAAAAGGTTGGGAAAAGGTTGGGAAAAGGTTGGGAGAAAGTTGGGAGAAAGTTGAGAGAAGGTTGGGAAACAGTTGGGAGAAAGTTGGAAATCGGAAAAGGTTGGGACAGGTGGAGCCGCTGAGAACAGGGGAAAGGCTTGGGGCAAGTTTGAAACGCTTGGAAAAGAGTTTGGAAATGGTTGCGAACAAGTTGTGATGAGGATCATAATGCTGCAAATATTTTCTGCTATGAGTGGAAAAGCTGCTGTGAGGGCCTTGCCGGGCTAGCACTGTGCGTTTTTGTTTTGTCGTTGGGGGGGGGGCCAGCTTTTTGTAGAGATGTTCCAGGGTTGTTAAGAATTATCCAGCTTTTCATGGGGATTGCATAGCTTCTTGCGGTGTTCTTTGCTTTGTTGCGTTTGGAAACAGTTTCCAAAAAGACCTTTCTTTAAAACAACTTTACGACTGGTACGCCTTTGATAAAGGAGTCCTTGAGGAAAGGGGTCTGCGGATGTGGGCATGCCCTTGAGTGTTGTTCGAGAACTCTTGATTGCTGCAGGGAGGTCTTCTTGCCAACTTTTGCGGACAATTGATCGACCCCCGCGTAGTGATGGATTCCTTATCGAGGGGGTCCGCCATTTTCTCACACAAGGTGGCAAAAAGACCCCGTGGATTGCTGTGCGTGACCAAACGTTTGGCTTCCAAGCTGCCAGGGGTTTCTCCCCTCATTCTGAATAGTTGGTTTTTAAGCCGGCACAATAGCGCGGCTCAGAAAATGGAAACGATAACCAACCGGATAACCCACTGATAGCACATTGCCTGACGTGTTCCACGTGGAAGCCAGTTGGACACGCCGCAACAAAGTACCTCTATATACTGTTATATGCTGCCACGACGATGATTTCTATCCATGTTGCTTAGCATCATGAGTACTACCATTTCTACTTGTACTGTTTTCACCTTTACTGCTACCCTAACCACCACTACCACAACAACTACCACCACAACCACAACAACTACTAGTATCTACTTTTAGTGCTGCTGCTCTTTCTTATACTGAGGTACTAGCACAAGTCCCAGTAGTAGTAGTAGTAGTAGTAGTAGTAGTAGTAGTAGTAGTAGTAGTAGTAGTAGTAGTAGTAGTGGTAGTAGTAGAGGTACTACTACTACTAGTACTACTACTACTACTACTACTGATACTTCTTCTTGTGGTAGTCGTAGTAGTAGGAGTTGGAGTAGGAGTAGTAGTAGTGGTGGTGATGGTGGTGGTGGTGGTGGTGGTACTACTGCTACTACTTCTTCTTCTACGACCTTACGGCTACAACTACGACTGCTACTACGCTAGTAGTGCAACTGCAAAGCTGCTTTGATGAGATATTGAAAGCTGGTACTTGCGAATCTCTTGTATAGCCAAAGGGCATCTGGCAAATGTTATCGATTTGTGCATCCTATCGTTTTTGAAGGCTGTTTGTGAAATGTTCATTTCACGGTTTTTAGTGTGTGCGCATTTGAAGCCGCAAGGGGCCCACACTGGGAGGACAAACAGAGACAGAGACGTTGGACAGAACCCATCTTTTGGCAGCAGAAAGGGCGCAAGACAAGACTCAGCGACCCGGACGTTCTCAGACGCTTTTTGTTTGGCAAGACACCTGCGCACTGAAGACGGGTGGAAAGATCGCATCTGAATACAACATCTGAATACAAAATGATGCAACATACAACAAGCGAGCATTCAGAGGGCCAAGGGGAGGTCATGATATGCTGGGACATCAGTAAACACCGTTGGTGAAAATTGGATGTGCCCACACATCACCTGCTTTTCTAGAGCTTTTACATTGGAGAAGGCAGGTCAACACGGGGGGGGGGGGGCGGTGGCTAGAGCCCCGGCAAATGGTTGAACTTGCTGGCCTCTCTGAATGTTCGATTCAAGTAGCATTGAGGCATTTGCTTTGAGGCATGCGCCATGTGTATGGCCTCAATATGTCGACATGCAGGCTCAGATTGTCATGCCGCCCAACCCTATTGCCAACTGCAAGCCTTCGGAGAAGGGTGTGGCGATCTTGAAGCAGGCCCCTGGTCGGTCAGGCGGCATGCATGCTGTGGATGGTTGCGAAATCCGCTTCTCGCACCACCGTTCGGAAACCCTGGTTTCGGATGATTCCCCAACGTAAATACCAACAAACAGTGGTTTCAACCATGGTGTTCAAGTGGTGCGAGAAGCGGATTTTGCAACCATCCACAGTTGCTTGTGAAAGGCCCACCGGCCTTTGACATCGTCACATCAAAGTCACGCAAAGCTGAAGGGAGTGGTGGTCCAGCAAGCGGTCGGGAACAAGCCCCATTCGTCCAGCAAGCGGTTGCCAGTGGCAGATGTGCGCTTGAAGACTCAGGGTGATTTGGAACAAGGAAATGCTTTCAACGCATGCTAGCGGTTGCTGCATGCGTTAGCACGCAGCCTTTTAGACCTCCCACAATTTGCAATAGCGAGGTTGTAATGCCAACGGGTCGCCGATCGAATGTCTTGAGCAATGCCCGTGCATCTCGCCCCAAGAGGCGCACAAGGTGGTGCCGGAGCTGGTGCCGAAGCTCGTCATGTTCATGGCTTCACTGGCAAGGTTGCAAATCCTTGGCTCGAACCTTGGGGGCCCTTGGGCAGAGCATGTTGGTAGTTGCGCTCAAGTTGGTACCCTGTAACTAAATATTTGCGATTTAGTTCGCAACCTGATACTGCAGGGCCTCCTTAGTGTGACCTGGGAGATATTAAGCACATTGACTTCGGCATCGGAACTGCCAGGCGATCAAAGCCTTGCTTCTGATGCCGGTGATCCTCTTTGGCTGCTTAGGCTTTTGGTGGGGCAACCTTGGCTGCATGCAGAGGTCAGGAACCAGGATTGAGCTTTGCCAATTTGCAGGCTGTTTGACGGGTAATCACGAATCATGTGATAGCTAATTTGGTTGCAGTGGGCAGACCCCACCGTTTTGGGAATGCTTGTGCTGTGTGCCTGAGTGAAGCCATGGAAACTGTGAGGCAGTGCATTGGGAGGGCCCGGCTTCAAGCGACCAAGGCAACGAGCTTTACAACAGGCTCGGCCAAGGTGCGGCACGGTTCCTAGCGAGATGTGCGCGGGGGTATGTAGCTGACCCGGCAACACGGCAATACTGAGGCGAGAGTAATGCATCACATCCATATATATATATATATGTATACACATATATTTGATACCTACTGGCTGCGATATTCTTACTAAATTTCACTGCCCAGCTTCCGCGAGAGAAACGGTTCGCCTTGAGTTCTGGAGCTATCAGTTTTTGTTGAGAGCTTCCCTTGCGCGCCCAAGAGGGCGTGTGCGAGCTCGCAAAGGAAAGCTTCGCGTTTCGGAAGGCTACGGGCACTTGGGCAACCACGCGGCACAACAACGCATCAGCAGCCCAGAGGCAGGGCAGCTGGCCAGAGCGACGCTTCGGAATTCGACGGAAAAGGGGAATCGGTCCCTTTGAAAGGGATCCCAGGTCGTTCGGTTCCATGTGAATTGGTAGGAGGGCAACCAGAAGGGCGCTTGCACGGGCTATGTTTGGATCACAGTGACCTATTGATTGTTCGAGAAGGAATAAGCTTGCTAGGCGCCGGTGCAGATGCAACTTCCCACTGCCAGAGCCTTGATTTCTTGTGAACTGGTTTGTTTTGCTTTGCTTCCGCGGTCCGGCATGCTGCAAGCAGCCCGCCTTTCTCGTGCTTGTCAATGGCCTGGAGAAGGGCTTGGGCGTGGACCTTCGGGCCGGGTTGTTCAGCAGAAGCCAGAATAGAGCGGAAAGCAATATGCTGACCCGACACAGAAAAAGCCAAGCAGCTTAGCTTGGAGTGGGCGTCTTGCTGAGGTCCAGCCTTTGCAAGTCGCCTGAGGGCCGGCAGTGAGGGGCCTGCCCAAGCATTCAGAGCATTCGTTTGGCGGGGCGGCAAAGGAATCTAGCACAGTGCTGACCCCTGTGGCGGGTGTGGATAGAACGTCACCCGAAGCTGCCTTGTACAGAAGCGAGCTGTGCTCAGATGCTTTTCCATTCCTGTTTCGCAAGATTGGGGGAGATGTGGCATGTTTGACCCGGAGATCCACATCCTGGAGATGTGTTTGAGTCCAGCCGCTGCAGGCATTTAAGTTTCTTGCAGTCTTTCGGATTGCCCGGTTGGCGTGAGCCGAAGCCAGGGACGAAGAGACTGATCATTGCGCACAGCGTGTGTCGCACTTGGCACAGCCTGCCGTGTGCCCGAAGCATGGCTGATGGAGATAGAGAACTTCCAGCTTAGGTACGAAGGCATTGGCATACCTACCCACCCACACCCCCACCCCACAGCCACCCCCCCACACCCCACCCAATGAAGGGGATGTTGCGGTTTGAAACCAAGCGGCTTCGCTCCAGTGACTTGGCCGACGCTTCGGCCGGCAGGAAGGCGCTGGATTTTTTTTTTTGTCACGCCGTGGCTGCGGAGGGAAGCCGCCAGAACCCGGGAGGTGTTCGTTTGGAGTCGGAAACTGCACTTGTCGTGAACCGGAGCCTGTCATGCAACCAAATGGGGGCACGCAAGGGGGGATATCGCACATTATAAAGTTATGTGTATGTATAGTCTGCTTTGGTTCCTCTGCCATGCAGAAAATTTGATTTGCTATTTGGTTTGAGCGAAAATTAATTGAAAACATCCCCCGATATTGCATTTCGGTCCAGCCGGCAGGCTGGTTGCACACTAATTTTCAGGAACCGATTTGATATGGCACGTGTGGATGCAGCGCCTTTTCCAAGCACACGCCCTTTGCAGACATCTGGCTTAGCTGGCCACCCATCAGCGTGGGGGTGAGATGTTTCGCACCAAGTCTCAGCCCACGGGAAGCTAAGACGAAGCAACAGCCGTTCTTGTCACAGCCTCGGTCGCTCGGTCGGGAGCTGGCACCTTGGGCCTTTGCCCGTGCCGGCCTCACCTCACGCCGCATGTTGCTCGTGGATGTTTCTGAGTCCGGTTGAAGCTTAGTGACTAACTGAGTCTGAGCAGTTGATTTACCCTCCCAGCCACCATGGGTAAGTGCACAGACCCCAAGACGAGCCGTTCCCTTTTGGGAAAGCGCCTTTGCACTAACCCATGGTCTGGTGGTGGGAGGGTATCACTTGGTGTGCTGCATTCTTCACGGAAGGCTTGTTATCTCTGGCCGCGTGCAAGTCCATTGTCTCGAGTCACTTGCAAGCCAGCTGAGGCGGATGCAAGTCCCAAAGAAGGCTGCTTATTGACGAAGCTGCTGGCTAGTTCCTTAGGGCTTGTGGGGCTTGGGGGGGGGGGGGGCGAATACATGGATGAACTGGCCTCACTGTTTTTCCGCCCCTAAGTGGTGGGTCAAGGAACCCACCACCTTTGATAACTCCCAGAAACCGCTAAAATAATGACCCCAGATGAACGCCTATGATGTCAATCTCAAGAACTCAGGTGGACTTCCACATCGGCTCCCGCAATGAGTGCCAGCCTCAGGCATTAGTTAGTAGTTGCGAGTCTTGGATGCAAGTTGGCGGCATCCAGCACGATGATGCTAAGGCTTCATTGAGACAGCGATTTGCGTAGAAGGAGGTTGCTCAGCTGCAAGCATGGCACCTGCTTTTTCAGAGTGTGCTTGGAAGATAGTCAAATGACAGCAGTAGCGCCCTTTCCCCCTTTTTGGGGGAGGCTTCCCCTACCAAAAAAAAACTACAGAAAAAAAAGAAGTTGGCACCCTTCTTCTGACCTCTCTACTGGAGAACCTAGTTTCTTAGACGTCACGACCTGCCGAATGGCCAAAATTTTGGCACAGCAGTGGGTTCCGAGCCTCAAAGCCACGCCTCAAGGGCACGCCGAGGTGGAGGCAGCTTCTTGCCGTTGTTTGCCAATGAGCCGGGGCGCCCGGCGGTTTGAGCCTCGCCTCCGGAGCAGATGCGGTGGATTTTGGTATATAGGGCATAGAAAATGCATGGGATGCACGTGTATTTACATATATTGATGTAAATATATGGGTGTGGCTCAGAATTAGACAACTGGGGTTTCGCAGGTTCTAGTCTTTGGCTCCACTTGCCAAGGTGCCCATCTTGGGAAACATTTTGGTGACCCAGTGTATATACATACGTGGATGTGTGTGTATTATACCAGCATATATAAATACATCCGTGGGTGTTGACGTGTGTAGATACACATGTTTCTGCAGATGCTGACATCCACCGTCGTGTGCACGCACGTGGGCGCTTGATCCAGGCATAGCTGGCCCTCCAGCCTGCGGGCGGTGCTCTACGGCGCCGGGCGCTCGGGGCTTCGCGTCTCTCGTTCCCGTTGTGACGAGCGAAGGGGGCCCCCAAGGGGTATCCAGGGGGTCCCCACAAAAAGGGGGTGATTACCCCAGATCGATTTAAACCCAGAGAATGAACCCCCTTGGTTTAAGTCTACCTGTAGTGGAAAAAGTGGAACCCTGCGAAGGGTTCCCCCCACTTTTTGACCCCAAGATCGACTCAAACCCAGGGGTGCCCCATTTGGGGGCGAATGCGTGCTTTCAAGCCGGCGACTGCGCTGTTTGAGCGTTTGAAGAGACAGAGGTTGGAATGGTCTACATGTTCCTGGGGGCCCGGGCCTCCAGTGATGATCTCTGGCTCGATTGCTCTGACCATTCACGTGATGCCGCGGTTTTGCCGCTGCGCATCCGAGCGTTGGTAGATCTCAGGTGTCGATCGTCTCCGATATGTTCATGAATGCCATCGAAGAGATCACCAGCCGCTCCAAACAGGCCACGCTTGGCGGATTCGAGCATTGCCGGCCTCGCATCTTCCGTGCGCGCCGTGCTCGAAGCAGTGGGTTTCAGGTCATGAAGAAGGATGGGCGCGTGATAACGTACAAAGCCGCTGGCCTAGGCGTTTGATCCAAAGTTCCGGTGACTTTGGTTTCAGTGCAGGTTGATTGAGCCTTTCATGCCGGAAGGGTCGTCTCTCACGGTGGCGTGTGCAGTTGAGATTGATCCATGGATTCTATCTCATGGCTCAGGTCTGGAATCCCACGGTGGCAAATCTGACCCTCCTGGCGCGCCCTTTCGCTTTGCTTTTTTCTCGACTCGCTGGAGTCACTTGGAGTCACTGAGCCATGGATCAAGCCGATGCCAGGCGCTGGGCTCTTCTGCGCCGGAGATTCTGCTGTCCGTGGTCGAGACCCTTAACAAGGACACAGAAATGTGAAGTCAATGAGAAAGCCTGGCGAATTTCGGCGTGCTGAAATTCTGAAATATGAAGCGCCGCGCGGTGGGAGGACTTTTTTGTGGGCAACTTGGGCTCCGTCCGACCCCAAGCCTCCTGCAAGGTGTTCACCTTTCGCGCACCTGGCGGCCAGGGTTGCGTTGTCAATTGCTTGCAAGCAGCGTGGCATACTGTGGATGGTTGCAAAATCCACTAACCGCACCGCTTTGAAACCATGGTTGAAACCGCTGTTCGTTGGTATTTACAAGAGAATCGAATCATTGCAGGGTGTTTTAGGTGGAGGATTTTGTCCATCCACAGTACCTTCAATTTGCGGCGCCAGTCACTAGCCAGTACTTGTAGTTCACATCGGCGGATTCCTTGTTGCCGGCGCTCGGGGGTCAGGCAACCATCACCGGCTCGGCCTCCTTCAACCTGCTAGTCATTGTCGGGCAGGGGCCCTAGGATATCGCAAAGCAGGGGTTGCTCTGAGCTAAAAAACGGTTTCACCGCACATGTTTCGACCCGTCCAATGACAACAAAGTGCCGTGGAGCCAGGCTGTGCGTTGTCGTCATCCCTAGCAACGAGATCCGCAGAATGAAGGACATGGAGGTGTTTGTCGTCACCTTGGCACCAGCCTTGGCGACTATTGGTCAATTGCGCCGTGTGGAAGGCTCACCACTGACAGATGGCCGTGAATAAAGCGCCTAATTGAAGCCACTGGCTGGCCACCAGCGTTCATCCTTCAGCTTGCAAAGCTTGAAATCTCAGGTCCTTATGTTCTTTGCCTACCTGTGGCTCGCGGTGATTGCACCTTGTCGCACCATTTTCCTGCCCTGAGACTTGCTGGGCACATTTGCAAAGAATGTTGCCAGTACCTTGGCTTTCACAACCAAAGCCGTCCTGGTCCAAACACATTGGTGTTTACCGCTTCTTGTTTTGGACAAACAAGGTCTTGCAAGCTCATTAAGGGAAGGCCACCCCGCAATACACCGAAAGCAATTATGTTTCCTCTCGCCTCTTGTGTAATGCGGGCCGCAGAGAGGGAGAGAGAGAGAGCGAGAGAGAGAGAGAGAAAGAAAGAAAGAAAGAAAGAAAGAAAGAAAGAAAGAAAGAAAGAAAGAAAGAAAGAAAGACAGAAAGAAAGAAAGAAAGAAAGAGAGAGAGAGAGAGAGGAGAGAGAGAGAGAGAGAGAGAGAGAGAGAGAGAGGAGAGAGAGAGAGACAGGAACGGCAAGCTTCAGCTTTGCCAAGGAGGCAGATTTTTGTAGTTAGGGTTAAAGCAGGGAAAACCATTTGTACATTCTTTAGGGTTTGCGCATTCCAGTATGGCTTATTTTGCAGCCTGCACGACGGACTCAGGTTGTATTCATCACACCCGAAGTGGTTGACATCTGGGAAGCGGCAGCAGCGGTCTCGGCAAAAGGCCGCAAAAGTGTTGTATCAAGCCAAGCGTTGCCTCGTGTGCGTTGATGAGGCAGGCCCGGCGGATGAAGAATCTATGGGTTTCAGTGTGATCCGGCTCGATTGAGGTCACCCTGGCTGGTGAGCCCGTACTGGCATGGAGCTCAACACATTCCAAAGCTTCATGTGATTCATGTAGCCTGTGCACATTTCATGTTCTTCATGTTCATGTTTGAGAGGCAGTCATTCCAATCAGAGAGTTTGCCATGCAGCTTTCCGCGCTCGTGGGTGCTTCGAGATGGTTGGCGCACAGTTTGCCCTGTGCAGGTCTACATCGCATATTTGGCTGATGTGCAGCCCTCAGTGCACAAGGTCCGTGGTGTGCGTTCTCTGTTTAAGAGGGGGGGGGCTGCACCCAGTCAGGTGCTGCTTTCCCAGGACAGCATTCGGGATTGGATAAGAACACCTCATTTCGTTTCAATGTGGCCGGCCCCAACGGGCACAGCTGGACCTGATTCCACATCGATGATAAGCAAAACAGACAACCCCAGTGTGAAAGCTTCTTGCGTGAGAAAAGGCGGTTGCCCAGCAATCGCGCCCCAACGCAACCTGAAACACGCGCACATACCCACTTAGACACCTGAGGGAGGAAGCCAATCAAAGTCGAGTCAAACATTGAGTACGTGAGTAAATCGAATCCACGCGAGCTGAAGTTGAGTTGGTACGGCTTCCCTGTAGGATCGAAAACGTTATCAATCCAACAAGAAGCACACACAGCGGAAGAAACCAAGGGGGCCAAAAGGACTTTAGTCACACGAGCTGCACAGGGACTCCGCATCGGCAGTGGCTCGTTGGGCAACCAGCTGTGCTCACACGCTCTCACACAGGCCCATCCCCCATGCCCACACGCCTACGCGCCCGCGCTTACGAGCACGCACGCACGAGCACACACTCTGCCACACACACATATACATATGTGTCCTCGCACCACACCTCTAATCGTGCGCGGGCAGCGTAGTCTCGATTCCATTCGCCAGCCAAAAAGGGCGTCACGCGCATGGCGTGCAGAAGCAATATATCGATCTGCACGGGGAAGGGTTGGCAGGTTGGCAAGCTAGCAACCAGTGCGCGCAACCTTGCCACTCATGGGGCTCACGCCACAAAATTATTCCACCTGTGCCAAGATTTCTCTCAGGTGGGCGCCTTGCGCCGCTGGAGGCGTTGTGGCGAGGCACAGGGAGAGGGAGAGCCGGCGCTTGAATTGGCCAGGCAGTTGGGCGCATTTGGGCGCGATAGTTGCTGATGCCATCAAATTCTCACCAGGTACGGCTTGAATTGTCCCTCGCATGCCGCCAACTACCAAAGACCCGCAGCCAGGAGCCACTTCAACTAATCACGTCTCAAGCGTGATGTTCACATTGTCACCAACACTGACCTTGGTCGTCAAACTTGTCGACCATGCAAGGATGCAACCGATTTGTTTCCATGATTGCTAACGCGCAGAAAAACGCGCTCTAGACATAACCGCGAGGTCCGCACGCTTCCAGCTGTCATGCCATGTGCCGAAGGCACCAGAGGAGGAGGACAAGCTGGTGACTCGAGCAATGAAGATGTCCATAGCTCAGGTTGTAGTGCGCTACAGTGCTGATGCACTGTTGCTCGTGTCGCCTCTTGACTGCTATTGGGTGGGATCTTTAGACTTTAACTTTTTTGGAAATCAAGGGGTGTTCCACTAAACTCCCAAAATGCTAAACTTTTTGCAGGGGGTCAACAGCAACCAAGACCTTTCCCCTATGGCCAAAAAACTGCAGCGAATCCTCCGGCCGTTGGCTCCTAGCTCCGGCCAGGTTGGAGCTGGAGCTCGGCGACGAAGACTATGCTGATACCCGGGTTGCTAAAGCCCAAGCTATAATCTGAGGGTGTTTGTATTACACCCTGGGATTACACCCTTGAGAAATGACCGAGAATGGTTCAAAATAATACGGTTTTATTCAGAAATGTGCCTACATGGGGTCAATACCCAGTGGGTGTATCCCCAGGCTGTAATACAAAATCCCTTAGATATGAGCGTTCTGGGCAGCAACGTGCTGTGAGGGTCATACAGCTGCACTGGAGATAACCGGAGGTCCTGCAAGCTGCTGCCGCAGAGGATACCACTGGTTTTAGAAAGGTGGTCAGGCTCTCAGTTGCACAGTTTTTGCCTGGTGGCAATGCAAGTTTCCCAGTCTGTTGGAGGATCACCTGAGTCATGCTATGTCTTGACTGGGTTCCTCTGCTATCAAGAAATGTTGGCGTGGTTTCATGCATTCCGTTTGCCCCCAATCTGCGCATGCCTTGTGAGTGATGGGAGCGGTCCCAACAGAAACACGCCGCATGCTATTCCCATGGCTTGGGACTCAGGTGGAACGAGGGCTCCCTGCTGATCGCCAAAGCCTGGTTGGCGTTGGGCGCCAAAGCGGCGACAGGTCCACAGGTCCACAGGCGTCTCAAAAGGCCCACTTTGGCTATGCGGTGCTTAGGTTGTGCAGGCCGGTATGGTGCGGACCCTAGGAGTGGGGAAGGCAACCATGGCTGTTAACTGCTCGTTGTCAACTCATGGAGTCACAAGGCGGCACGCGAATCTCGCGCACAACGACGCGCAGCCATGCCTGCTCCCCAGTCTCGAACTGCGTTCCATTCTCGTTGCTGAGATGCCCTTTCTGAGTTGTTTGTGCAAGCTGGCACATGCTGCTTCAGCTTTGGCTTCAAACTGCCCGGCCAACTGTGAACGTGCAGCTCGAACTGCGCCTTGTGGCGCTACAGTTTCGAACGCTTCGGTGAATGAAAGGATCTGTGTTCCTTGCAATGAGGTGATTTGGGTACTTAAGCGAAAAGTTGTCCCATGCCTGACTTCTCGCTCAGGGCACGAATCAGACGGGCGGCCTCGACACGAATTTATGGTCGACAGGTTGTGTTCCCATGTCAGAGCAGAGCAGCGGTCTTGTTATTGTCCACCAAGCCCCGCTTTCCGAATCCATTCATACTGTGGGTGGTTGCGAAATCTCTTCGCACCACTTTGACACCATGGGGAACCATTGCAGGGGAATCATCATTCCAGGGTCCTTGGGTGCAGGATTTGTCCATCCACATTGATCGTGTGTGTTTTTGTTTTTCCCTCTGCTTATGCCAGGGCAGCAAGGCCTGACCCCTAGACACCATGCGACTTGCCTCGCCTCGCCATGGCAAGTCGCACGCTCCCTTCGCTTGGGAAGTTTTTGTTGATGCCTCGAGGGGTCTGGCATTCCATGGCCTGAGGCCACGGTCGACTCCGACCCGTACCGCAGCAACTTTCACCACGTCAAGCCCATGGGCATTGGAAGGCGCCAGCGAGGGTTCACTGAGCAAGTTCTGCAGAGCGAGCAGCTCGGATGTGCGAGCGATGAGCGAGCGATGAGCCAGCTATGTGTGCTCCACTGAGAGGGCACGAAGATTTGTTTGCTGAACTTGAAGCACATGTGTGTGCAAGGCCGCAGGTGCAGTTTGCCGTAGTGCAGTGGCTGGCTCGGTGAGGCTTCAGAACATGGACAAAACGTCAGTCCTCAATAGCTTTGACAAACGGGGTTGGGCCTGCGCTGCCTACATTGAGCCACGTGTGCAGCTGGCATCCGGAAGCAAAAGCAATAATTTGTCAGATGCGAGCGCTTGCTTCCACGGCTCCATTTGACGTGGTTTGGCGAGCCATCCAATGCTTGGTCTTACCCTTTGGCATCGATTTGTTTAGCGTGCATGACATGACCAGATGTGGAAATCTGACCGAGGCAAAGCCTGTCTTCCGAGCTTTCCACCAAGTCCATCACTGTGATCCGAACGGGCGACCATAACCAGCTGGGAGCCCAGAGCAGAGGGAGGCTGGACGCCAAGCACTCTACTTTGACTCCGTGTTCTTGCTTGGAAAATTGGAAAATGCAAGTTGTATGTGATATCAGTTGGTCAAATCTTGTCAAAAGCGGAGACAGCTGCTTGTTTGCTTGGAAAATGCAAGTTGCACTTGATATTCTTTGATCGAAATTTGGTCGAATCCGGAGACAGCTGCTTGTTTGCATGGAAAATGCAAGTTGCACTTGATATCCGTGGTTCAAAATTTGATCAAATGCGGAGACAGCTGCTTGTTTGCTTGGAAAAAGCAAGTTGCACTTGATATCCGTTGCAACATTTGATCAAGTGCGGAGACAGCTGCTTGTTTTCTTGGAAAATGCAAGTTGCACTTGATATCCGTTGATCAAAATTTGGTCAAATGCGGAGACAGCTGCTTGTTTGCTTGGAAAATGCAAGTTGCACTTGATATCCGTTGATCAACATTTGATCAAATGCGGAGACAGCTGCTTGTTTGCTTGGAAAATGCAAGCTGCACTTGATATTCCGTTGATGAAAATTTGGTCAAATGCGGAGACGGCTGCTTGTTTGCTTGGAAAATGCAAGGTTGCACTTGATATCCTTTGATCAAAATTTGGTCAATTCCGGAGACAGCTGCTTCTTTGCTTGGAAAACGCAAGTTGCACTTGATATCCGTTGATCAACATTTGATCAAATGCGGAGACAGCTGCTTGTTTGCTTGGAAAATGCAAGCTGCACTTGATATTCCGTTGATCAAAATTTGGTCAAATGCGGAGACAGCTGCTTGTTTGCTTGGAAAATGCAAGGTTGCACTTGATATCCGTTGATCAAAATTTGGTAAAATGCGGAGACAGCTGCTTGTTTGCTTGGAAAATGCAAGTTGCACTTGATATCCGTTGATCAACATTTGATCAAATGCGGAGACAGCTGCTTGTTTTCTTGGAAAATGCAAGCTGCACTTGATATTCCGTTGATCAAAATTTGGTCAAATGCGGAGACAGCTGCTTGTTTGCTTGGAAAATGCAAGGTTGCACTTGATATCCTTTGATCGAAGTTTGGTCAATTCCGGAGACAGCTGCTGGTTTGATGGAAAATGCAAGTTGCACTTGACATTCTTTGATCGAAATTTGGTCGAATCCGGAGACAGCTGCTTGTTTGCATGGAAAATGCAAGTTGCACTTGATATCCGTTGTTCAAAATTTGATCAAATGCGGAGACAGCTGCTTGTTTGCTTGGAAAATGCAAGTTGCACTTGATATCCGTTGATCAACATTTGATCAAATGCGGAGACAGCTGCTTGTTTGCTTGGAAAATGCACGTTGCACTTGATATCCGTTGATCAACATTTGAGCAAATGCGGAGACAGCTGCTTGTTTGCTTGGAAAATGCAAGCTGCACTTGATATCCTTTGATCGAAATTTGGTCAAATGCGGAGACAGCTGCTTGTTTTCTTGGAAAATGCAAGTTGCACTTGATATCCGTTGATCAAAATTTGGTCAAATCCGGAGACAAAAAGCTGCCAGCCGCGCTCAGGATCGGCACCATCACCGGCACCTACGTGGTCCTGCGCCTGAAGGACTTGACGGGAATGAGTTGTATGGCGAGTTTTAATAGGGAGACCACCTGAAAAGTGACGAGTGGATACTGTGGGAAATCCACTAACCGCACCACTTGGAAACCATGATTGAAACCAGTGGAATTCACAGGGGAATCATTCCAGGGTTTCTTGGGTGGTGCACGATGTCGTCCATCCACAGTATGAATCCCCTATCTACATGATGTCCACCAAGTCGGGTCCCCCATTGAAATTCACACCCATGGTGCAGCATGAACGGCTGGGCACGTGCGAGGAAATTATCTCACAGCCTTCCACCAACAGCCTGTTGGAGCCGGGTCCTGAGTAAGTCGCGCATCGTTTGATGTGTTTTGACCCCTGACTAAAATGGGTGGGGCACCTGCCCCAGAATGGTACCATTGGTTTTGACCCACGCCCTTTTCAGTGACCTGCGCGCAAGGCGGAAAAGCATGTCCTCTTAACTTCTCAGGTTGCCCGCGGCTCTCAACGATCCAAACGCAAGCTTCGTGCACGCGAGGTCCGTCTATGTTACGGACCCCGACAATTACGAGGCCCTTCTTGGCGTCTCCGGGGCTGTGGGAATCGGAGATGTGCAGATGGGCCAAAAACGTTCAGAGCGACAGGCGAAGAGCATGCCCAAAAAGCAATGCCTGGATTTCGGGTCCCGGATGTCCCATCCCGAATTCTTCGACTAGGTCCCCCAATAGTGCCCTTTCAGAGTTTCACCGACTTGGGTCCCGGGTTCCCCAAAAATAGACAGAAAACAAGTGGGTAGCCTAGCCTCTAACCTCTCTGGAGGACCTACACACGTGGGGACGGCCATGCCTAAGCTGTCGGACTCACGTCAGGGCTCCATGGAAGTCATCGGCCGGGGCAGCTTCACGATGATCCCTGGGGAGATGGTCAAGGACGGGCTGCATTGGGGGCTGGGGAGGGAGGGGAAGGGGAGGGAGCCCAAAAAGGCCCTAAATAAGGCCTTCTTAAGGGCTAAATAAGGGCTTGTTTGGGCTCCCTCCCCAGCCCCTCCCTCCCCCCAGATGAATTCAGCGGTCGCAAATGGCAAGTTGCACCTGCCATTTGCTGAGATCCTTACGTCCCGACATGTAAAGCAAAACATGGTTGGTGAACGCCCTGTGTTGCAGTTGCGATATGCAAAGATAACATGCGACATGAACTTCCATTGCCTGCAGGACGTGCCGGTAGAGATTGTAAGGCGCGTGCGGCATGCATTCAGTGCAAAGTGTAACATGAATTCGGCTGCAAGAGCTGCTTGTCATCAAGGGTTGCCTTTTGAGAGTATCGGATTCCTTGAGGAAATATGCATGCATTCTGGCACGCATTCTTACATGTCTAGACTCACAGGCCGAAGAATGCAACGATGAGGGGTGCACCGGAGGCCGCCGCGCGGGTTGAAATGCGGCATGCGAAACGAAGAACTCAACCGACTCAACCCCTGGCCGCGTGAAATGACGGGGCAATGCCGTGTGAAACAACAACCCAACCCCAACGCCACTTTTTCTGCCTGGCACTGCCAGGAAGTTGTGGTGAAGATGGATTCCCTCGAGGGCGTAGTTGCCTCAGTGGCACTTGGCTGTTGGCCCGGCTGTGAAGCTCGCTGTAAGAGTCGCAATGCGATTTGGGAATCCACATCGCATGCCACGTCAGGGGGCCCACTTTTTGACTACAGGGTAGACTTAAACCCAGGGGTGGCTCATGTGCAGCGTGGCATGCCCATTCTATGTTGCATGCTGTGCATTGTGCCGGCTTGCAACTTGAGGTCACCAACTCAAGCTCAACGCCCGTGCCCCTGGCCGCTGCCTTGGCCCAGCATTGCCAACAGCGCCGGGTTTGGTCGATCTGGCCGTCCTGGCAACTGAACAGGATGTGGGCAGAACCATAGGTGTCCTTTCTGGTTGTTTTGGCAAAAGGCCAGATGGTGATTCCTGGTTTACCAGGTGGTTTACTCATCTACCAGGGCCATCTTTTTCCCCCAAAAGGACACCTATGCGGCGGAACGTCCGAATTCAGGAGATTGGCCCCATCCATGCGACAGTCGTGACCTTCGCAGCGAGCCAAGCATCCGTGTAGCAGCGCGGTCCCCTTGGTCACTGTCACTGTTCAGGCCACCACCTTTCATGGCATGTGACGGAGAGTAACACGAGGACAATCCTCCAGATCTGTTTGATAAGATGGGAACCCTGGTTCTGGGTCCCCTGCTGAGCCTGTGAAGTACCTAATCCTTTTTACCCTGCAGTCAGGTCCGACCATTGACGGCTGTTATGGTGCCTGCTTGTGCGCTCAGGTGCCTGCTTTCCGAAAGGGGGTCATCTCGCTGGGTGGCTAAGAGGGGGCAAAGCCACTGGCACTGACAACATGTGCGACCTTTTCCAGGTGGATGGCAAGTTGTTTTCCAGCTGCGTTGGTTGGTAGGATTCAGGAGTTTTGGGTGGACTATCAGGGGAGCGTTCAGTTGAGGGGCAACAGCAGCATCTCTAGTTGCGAGATACTGTGGTTCTGGATGCTTGCAGCCAATAGCGCGCAATGGCTCATGTTCAGAAACAAGTAGTCTTTTTCCCGGCACCAGCTTCGATTCCACTCCCACAGTTCTAGACAATAAGCAAGCGCGGATTCGCATGCTTTCATTGTCCTCTTGCAGAACAATCGCCCACGCATGCAGTATCATGAACTGAGTTGGGCGTTGCACAGGTTTGGATTGCAGCGGCCCGTGCTTAGGTTCCCCTACGAGCGCGTTGCCATTGCTGGGGTGCGGTGCCTCAGGTCAGGAAATAGTGGCCTCATCAAGCCTTTGTCAATCCCAACTGCCCGGTTTCCGTTGCCAACCATGCGTCAGTGTGAGCTCTGCAGGCTTGGCAGTTTGACATGTTCTGTGACTCCTTGATATCGTCAGGATGCGTGCAGCTTGTCTACTGATACCGTGTAGCACTGCACACGGCATGCTTAAATCTAAATGATGATATGGCTTTCGTTCAAGTTGAGCTAGTTTGGCTGATTCAGGCCTCGAATTCGCAGAAGCTGCAGTGTGTGGTGGAGCGGCTGGATGGATGCCTACCACTCAGGTAGACTTCAGCTTTGGTGTCGCTTGTTCGCCTTCTTAGCCGAAGTGTTTTGGGCTGGAGTGAGAGGCATTTTCTAGGGGTACCTTCCCCATTCTTTCCAGGCATCCTTTCTGAAAAGAACGATGGTTGAAAAGAATGGAAAAGGAATCAAGCCCTAGACCTTCGCCAAATCCATAGACTCAGGCTCCGGGCCGGCACGTTGCAGCCGTGCCCTTGGACGACTTGCAGTTCACCCTCCCATTGCAACTGATAGGGGGTCCCTTCAAAAGGAAACTCGTCTTCCAGGTACCCCACAGGAGCCATGGAAGTTGGAGGAAGGGTAGGAAGTTCTTCTTATGTACTGCGCGGGATGAAATTGCAAGGCCTTATGCTGGTTGCTTTGCAGCGCATGCGGCTCTTGCAAGGCTTCAGCACAGCACGACTCTCGTCCGTGCCGGGATTTGACTACGAGGAGACAGAGGCCACACTCAATTAACTTAGAACGCACTTTGCCAGACCTGCTTGTGTCCTGCCAGCACGTTGGTGTAAGAGCATGTCAGACTTTGCAGCTGCCAGCGGGAAGATTCGTAGCAGCTTACTAATGCAGGTGCAACTTGATGAACTTGTTGCGCCCACTGCGCGCTTGAACGCACAAGTTGGGTCCAGGGTGTGCTGGAATTCCCCCCGGGCGTCACGGAGCGCTTCGTAGAGATCGAGTTCGGGGCCAAGATGTCAATGGTTCAAAGAGACAACTGTAATAAAATTCAACGTTGAAGACGCATCAGCAAGTGGAATCGGCAAAGCCATTTCGAGAAGTTGAAGCTTCAATCATCACCAATATGCGCCAATAATCCTGGTGTCCCCCCTGTGGCAGGAAATGTTGCGCGCACATCCGCACGCTGTTGTTTGCCGCGTTTGGGGATTTGGCGAGCGAAATCAAGCAGGCCAGCTGTTGCCGTTTCAACTTGTGCCTATCCCGCGGCCTGGAACGGCTGGAGCCGCGTTCCAAATGAATTGATCAAGATGATCAAAGCTGTCGGCCACCTGCTCAGGATCCTCCCAAAGCGCATGGAGGAGATAGCTGACAAGTTCCTCCTAGTCCTGAACGAAGCAGAAGGCCGTTGTGGCATGGCATGAGGTTGAAGTTTCTTGATCGGTTTTCTTTCGGGCGGCGCAACGCCCCCCCTTCAAGTTGGGGCTTGACCCATGCTGGCCTGGCGGCTAGAAATTGCCTTGCGACCTTTTTCAAACACGTTGGTAGGGTCAAACAAAAAAGGCCGATTGTTACCAGGGCCAGACCGACTAAAGCATCTTCGCCCGGCGGATTCAGGCGCCCAGTTCGATTCCTCAGAGGGTTTCAAGCGGGACTCCCACATCCAGACCATTATGATTGGAGTGGGGAGCCTTAGGGGCAGCAGCTGGAAGACAGAGGCCGTGCCTTCGGGGTTGTGAGAACGCGGCAATGCGGGAAATGGTTTGTGTTTGCCTTCCTTAGAGGTGCTAAGCCTCATGACGCAACCTCTTGTTCAGCACCCAACGGATGAGTCAGGGATCACGTTGCAAACAAGTATTCCTTTGATTTCTCCCCACCTAAAAATTAACCACCACCCGCAACAAACAGTTAGCACGGGTTAGAGTCCCCCGACTTTTTGGCCAGAACTGTTTCAGACTGCGTTGTTTAGTATTGGGTTCAAATTGGAAAAGAGGGACCCCTTTGATTTGAACACATAAAGTGTTCAGAATGCGACCTTCGAGTAAGAACTTTTAAAGAGAAGAGACTCATGATTTGAGCAAATAATCTGTTCAGAATGCAACTTTTGAGTGGGACATTATTATGGGAACCTGATGGAGGCCCTAAGAATAAAAACTGCTCACACAAGGCAGCCCGATTGATGCTAGGGTGGCCCCTAACAAGCACATTTGGGCAGCTTGGCTGAGTTCATCTGGTGTCTGGAGAGTTTTGTATTGGTTTAGTATTGGGTAAT